AATAGAAGAGTGTATCTTACCTACTTTGCAGTGAAATGCTTTATTTTCATAATAGCTTTCAAACTAAGTAAATTGCATGTAGGATTCCTTGCTTCGGTCTCGTCACACTATATATATTATATACCTTATTCTGGACCATTTACATTTGCTGTGTGTTTTCAACAATGCTTGTAGTTACTGACTTTCCTCAGTGGCTTCCCTTTCAACATTGTCTGTTCTATTATTGTTCTTGTGTACATGCAGTGGGCTTTAATTGCGTATCCTTTGATTTCTTTTGTTTTACCAGGCAAAGTGTGAAACTGCAAAAAAACAGTGTCAGACAACACTTTTGAGGGTCATTCTTCCAACAGAGACTGGGGGTAGATTGTATCTAAAAATCTGTGAGTCCTGCTATGTGACCCGTTAATGCTACCAGCTTCAACTAGGCATGCAGTGATGCTGCAGGGGAGCATAAGACATACCAGCTCCACCTAACCACTGAAAAAACTGACAACTCTCCCAATCACATCTGTTTGTAAAACTGACAGTAGAAAATGTTAGCAGAACTTCATAGTTTCTTTTGTTAAGTGACATTTTCAACAGAAATTTTTTTTTTTACATTTGACAGAAATAATATCTTTCAGACAATTTCTTCTTCATTTTTTTTTTTTCTTTTGGTTGTATCATTTTCTATAAACTAAAACAGAAAACAGCTGACAAAACCTGAAAAATTTCCAGATGTTCTTTTCAGCCAATTTTCCCCCCCTTCAGAGAGTTTTAACTCTGTTTTTTTCTTCCTCTGAAAAAAGGGATGATTTTTGTCAAAATTTCCATTTGTTGTAAACCTGGTTTTCTGATGAAAAAGTTTTTATCAGAAACATCAGAGTCCCTGCAGGACTGCTCCCCTGCCCTTTGAAGCAGCCAGCCACCAGATTTCCCCCTCATTGCAAAGGAAGCACTAGATCTCTGGTTATACTCTTCACAGGTAACCAGGATTAGGAAGAAAAGCTCATGTGATAGATGCTAGAACTTCTTTCAATTCTTTAAAATATCCTGAAACTATTATTCTCTACTTGCATTGAGAAAAGCCTTCGTCTCCTCTGTTTTTAACTCCCAATCCCTGGACAGACTTAACTACATGAAAAAGATTTTAAAATTCTCCCCTGAAATCTGAGAGAGGCCTAATGGTTGTTAAGTAGCTATTCATCTTACAAGAAGTAAAAAAAAAAATCCCTATAAGTCCTATTAGCTCCAAAGAGAATTCCTCTTTACTGGCCTTTTCTTCACCTCTGCTTTGCTGTTCCATTATGCCATTATAAAAACCAATAATTATGCAAGTAAAAAGAGAGACAGATTTTGAGTTATTTATTGAAGCTTTTTCCCTGCCATAAACCTTTCAAGCATTTACTTGTCACCAGCACTAAAGAGCTTCGTTAGGTTACTATTATGAAGTGTTACTGCCAACCATCTGGATCCGAATCATCAGTGCTGCTTTGCTGTCATCTAGAAACAATGATAAAAATTTACCAACCCCACCAGTCCAAAATCTTGTGCTCTTCCTTCAGTACATTGGGTTGTTATTTGCCTCCCAAGGCAAATAATCTTAAAGGCTGGGAAGAAACTTTAAAATTTGAAATAGTCAAGCTTTTATTTTCATAGAATGACAGTAACTCAGGGCTATGATTAATCTAGTGTAATGCAATAGTAATTTTATTCTATTTCTTTCTTCTGAATAGTGTGCAATTTATCAGCTGGCTTTATGGTACTGCTGATGATATTAAAAAAACCCTCATGATGACTAATGTTTTTTTCAATCTTTTCATTTCCTTCCCATTTTATATTATAAAAAAAACATCCTGACACAACAAGGATGAACTGAATTACATTTAAGCCAGCAATATGGTTTTCATTTGATGTAGTTCTAACAGAAAACCACTTTAAATAGTGTGATTTGAACATAATACATTTTAAGAATTGAATAACCCAACGGAGCATATAGCCTTGGCAGCTGTAGACAATATCAAGGAAACTGTATATACTGTCCTAATTGCCATCATAATCTCTGAAAAAAGCTTGAGATAGGTTGTGGAATATTTATTGGTTCATTTTCCACCTGAAATTATTTCTGCTGTTTTTTCTCCTATCTGGGTGGCTTGTCGAGCATGAGCTATTTGAAACAGTCTTCTTAGGCATAACACTGGATTTCAGTCTTCCAGAAATGCTATTGCTACTGTTATTATAGTTCCAGCACGATCCTTCGAGCATTTTTGCCAGACTCAAATTATACTAGATTCAATTAATTTTAACTTTACACTATTACAATGTATATAACATTGGAAAGCCAACATTAAATATTAAACACCTCACTAAATGAAAGTGCAGTTCTACTTAATGAGCCCCAAACTATAATCACTAAAAAGGATGGAGTATAACAGATAAAATTCAGTAAAAATCTAGAGAGTTTTCCATCTTGTCTTTTAGGGGTTTAATGTTTTTATTGCTTACTTCCCCTCCAAAGCCTGGAAAATTCCAGTCTTTACATCTGTAGATCTTTAAGAATGTCCTGCATGTAAAGGACATTTTTTGTGGGGGAGAGCCTGGCCATGAGATCACCTGCCAGGGGACCATTTCCTCTAAGCTCTGTGCTTTGTAGTCACCAAGCACCACACAACAGGAATAGTTTGCACTCTGTATCTCTGTATTTCTCCTGACAGCCTTTTATGAGAAGGCAAGCTCAATATAGGGTAAAGACCTGCAGGCACCGTTCTTTTAGGAGGAGGTGGGCCACCCCCATCTCCCCCGCCTCCCCAAGCAGCCTGAAGCTGTAATGGTGACCACTGCTTCTGTGGCACACAGGATGCTGCTGGCTTTTCTAAACTAGACTTTATTTGTCTGCGGGAGGCATGAGTTTTGACCTCTGCTAGCTGGATCCAGAGCTCAACCTCTTTCCTGCTCTGGTTTATTTGTTCTTCCTTACAGTTCTGAAAAAGTGTCAACAACAAGGATATGTTCCTTGTTCCCCATAAATGTCTAGTTTCCTTCCCACAGTTTATGGGAAAAGTGTGCTGGACTTTCTTTACTGTGCTCATTGTCCAAATCCAGATGTACAGGAATAAATCTTAGTATCTGAGAGTGTAAATTCAGCATATATCCTTGGGAGGGAGCATTAGGAATGCACCACGACTAAATGACACAAAAGATGCACACAATTAGCATTTTCCATTGTAGTACATTAAGAAAATATTTGATGTTACTGAATGTATGGTTTACCTCACAATAATTATAAGAAATAGGAGCATCCAACAAGTATATGCAAGATGTTCGTCTGACAAAATGCATCTGTTTTTAAACAATCAATTCCTCTGGGTGGCTTTTGTGATAACACTAACATTAGAAATTCTCAGAAAATGCATCTAAACAGTGGATGGATAGATTACGGTGCACATATACACATGAGCTTGAAACCCAAAGCCTCAAATATCTTTCCTCTTGCTCTCCTGCCTCTTTCCTTGCCAGACAAACCTATTCTCAGGACTGGATTTCTGTGTTTAATAACTGTAATAACTGAAACTAATTCTGACCATTGCTTTGTTTCAGGTAAAATCACATTTCTACCTCTGTCAAGCTCCTGTTGAGTAGAAGACTCGATGCCTGACACCTTCCCAGGTTGCTGCTCATGTCTGACTAGGCTTTGGCAGTGAGTTATGTGACTGCCATACATCACTTTCTGCAAAACAACTGCAAGCCCCATTAAAATGCAGCTGCTGCACTGTACTTTCACTCACAACACTGGCCCTTGGTACTTGCAGTACCTCAAACTGCAGCCGTAGCATGATTGCTGTGATTGCATTTGATACTCACTCCTATACTGTTGTCTGTACAACTAATACTCAGTCCAGCCCCACAGATACCACTGTTCAGTCCTCTAAGATGGCATACTCTGTTTCATCTCTAATAATTTCTTCTGATTATGAAATGTACTTTCTGGACAGACAAGGAGGTGAAAAACTGAATCTGTTTGCAGAATAGACCTTTTTTTAAAAACAAAAACAAAAACAAAAACAAAACCAAAACAAACCCAAATCTTGGTTAGCCATTATTGATCTAGAAATTTCTCTAAAATGAGAAAAATCAGGACACATTACAGAAAGTAGTAGTGCAAATTGCCATTCCTGTTTATTTGCTGCATCTAACTCAAGACAGTATCCTTCCTTTCTCTTAAGCAGGCAGCTCACACTGAGTGCAACCCCCAGTAATTTGTGTTTGTAAGGTGCCATGGAGACACGTGCTTCTATTGTCTTTCACACAGCATTTATCATGAATAGAAAACCACAAGCAACGAACAGGAGTTACCAAGGACCCTTGAATTTGTATTAGCTATCACATTGGCTTCACAGCTGTGTTTATTTGATATACACCTTGCACTTTGTCCCTTGATTTAACGCATGAAATCTCTGATTAAGTAACACTGTTATATAGGTGATTTAGTATAATGCCCCCATATGAAATATAAATACTTATTTCAGTAGGTGTTAGCAGGGGAACATGAATGTGTATCACAGGTTTGCTACTGTCATTTGTAGCACTTGTAAAACAAGACAGACAAAATTACGGCACTAGAGCAAAACCCTTTACAATGAGCTAG